AGTCTAGCATTCGCTAAAGGGACTGATGTCCAGTCTAGCATTCGCTAAAGGGACTGATGTCCAGTCTAGCATGCGCTAAAGGGATATTTATCCGGCCTAGCACAATCGTCTCCAGTTCTAATACTGATGAGTGATGATAACGTAGTAGTTGTGGTAAGCTGAAGGGTTAACCGAACCCGCACAATATTGAAAGCTTTTGTTAAAGGTTATACTAGATAGAGATTAGAAATGCCAGGATGATCGAACGGGTTGTTATCTTATTCCCAGATGCTCGGAAAACGCTCGAGGACGAGCGTACGTCAGTATGGCCGTGTCGGCGCCGCCGTCATTATTTTGTAAACTGCGAATGTAATGGGCGAGCAGTGAACAAACAACTGACCGACGTCACTTCAACCCCACCACCGAGTGATATATAAAGCAGCGCAAGCGCAAGCTCGAGTCAGTCGTTCGTCGATCGTTGCCCAGTTCACACGTTACGCAATCGCTGAGTAATTTTATTGTTGGTTTTATTTGAGTGTTTCCTTTATATAATCAGTGCTGAATTATTCAATTATTATAATTAAAAATTAATGTGAAAGTAAGTTCATTTAATCGAAATAAACTAAGTGATTGTGTGAAGCCCTTTGTTTTATTTTCAAATAATGTCGGATCCTGATCCTACATATATTTTTTATGTCAAACGATTTCAATGAGTTCTACCAATTATTTGCTTTTATTTTTGACGTTTAATATCCAAAATGGAGGTGGTTGTGAAAAAATAGGTAATATCGTATTCTCATCAATATTAAGAGTCCGTACCAAACATCAGAATGATTTGTCATCAGGAAGGGAGTAAAATTCTAATTACTAGATTTAGCACAAACAAACAAAAAGCACACGTAATTTATAAAATCGTAAAAATAAAAATTCTCTATTTTTATTTACAGAAAGATAAAACAAAACATTTGTCTAATCTGAACAATATGTATAATCTAATTAAATAAGAGTCTAGGTCTTAAAATCAGGCACAATTTTATACTCCTTTATAATTTCATCATCATCAGAATCCATTGCTATCATAGGCTTCTCCTTAGCTATGTAACATACTTATGCTAGAACTAGTGGCTAAGTGACCGGTCGTGCTGGTCTGCCGTCCCACAGGGTTCAGAGAGTGAGGGAAACGAGAGTGAACTAGTGTTCGCACATACACTTGTACACACAAAATATCTTCTGCGTAAAGGGCTAGTCTAGTTAAATTGGCCACCATGATCGAAATCGATCGGAAGATTATTTTAGAAGATTTTTTCGGAACATGTTTTCAGCTCGGGACTTTCGGTACAACTATTACTTTTCGATCTTGACTTTACTTGACTAACGAGACAGTCTTACAGAAATGTTCAATTTTATCAAGATAATATTTTTTCATACTAAGGTAATAAAATGCTAAGTCAGCGACTTGAAATATTCCACGAAAAAAATATTGTTTCGTCAAGCCCTCGGTCGCTAACGATATTTCTTTACAAAATGTTGCTAAATCATAGGTTTCAGCGTAACCAATAATAGATTTGAAGTATGTAATAAAATAGATATTATTTTTTAGATATTGGATGGTTGAAAAATAGGTATACATAGGTACTTATTTTTGTAGTGTTACGAAAATATCTTAACAATATTGATACATAGACATACAATATTGATACATAGGTATTTCATATTTCGTGTTGTATTAAAACCTAAAGGAGCTCCCTCACTGGGAGCATACACGTGTAATGTAACATTATAAATTCGACTTTGAGCATTACATTACAATAATAGTACCTCTCTGACTAACGTGCATTTTCGTGTAATGTATGTAACAATGAGCATTTGCGTGCAATGTAACATAATGATTCGACTTTGAGCATTTCATAGCAAGATGTCAGACGAAGCGGGCGGACGGAGGGCTGGAGGAAGTATTGTATCATTACAAGGTTGTACATTGTAATGCTCGGTTCTCCTCCTTTACTGATATAATGCTCAGATCTGTAACGTTACATTACACTCAAATGCTCCCAGTGAGAGAGCACCTTAATTTATTTGATAAAAACAGTTTGTGTGATATAAGAAAGCTGTGTTTTTTGGATATTACTAAGAATTCTCATCCTTTGGTTTCTTTGCTTAAAATTGACATAATATTAAAAACTATAATCTAGTATGGACTCAACAGTCTCAGTGAATTACCGAGTGAAGGATCTCGGATTCCAGTCACCGATCGGGTGAAGTAAATTTTTTATTTTCGAAAATTCTCAGCACCGAGACTGGAACCATACCAAGTGTATGGTATAATATACTGACCATGTTGTTGCGGTGCTTATGAAGTTTAGGCTTAGCCTTGAGTCACAGGGCATCGCGTAAGCGGAATTGGCTGCGTATGAAACTAAGCTACACTAAACTAAAATACTCGCCGGATAGTGTGCGTGCCCGCTCGCAGAGGCCTAAGTACGGGGTGCGGTGCCAGAAGACCTCCCCGTGGTCACCCTGGGTGCGGGCGACAGTCTCCCTAACAGGGGTGATAGGGTTCGGTGTGACTGTCGCCCGCAGCCAGACTTCTGGACTGGGCGGGCGAACCCGATAGGGTTCTGGAGGCGGCGGGCTGTGTGCTCATGGCCAGCGCTTCCGTGGGGCGTTTCTCCGCCTGTCTCTCTGAACTTAGAGCGTGGCGGAGAGGCAAGGGCGGTGCTCGTTGTGCACTCACCCTGTCAGCGAGCAGCATCGGGACACAAGCTGTCCCCGATTGCAGCCGTCGATATCGTAATCCGTACGAGTATATTTTACGTTTCAAGACCGCGTTTGGCGCTCTAATTGGTTGGTTCATTACACCCGGATAAAAGTTCGAACATATCGAATATTTTTGTATCTTACGCGGGGGATTACACTTGCACGATGCGTGGTCACTCAAGGCTTAGCCTTGGCGTCTGCTTATACCATAATGGAATTAATGTGTTTCTTACAGCAACCCAATATTCGATGTAGTTTGATCGAAAGATAAAGTTCATTATCGTTAATTGGAACATCTACTTGTGGTTTTGTATCACTTTCATTAACATCACATTCTCGCCTAATTTACTTTACCCAATAATTCACATTAATTGCTTTGAAAATACACACACATCGTACATACGTATACAGTATCCAGTATTACTTGATCGTACATTAGGTACTTTTTATAGAATCTGAGAGCTCAGATTCTACTGGAAAAATTTAGGCAGATATCCATTTAAAACCAGTATAAGATGAACGCTCCTTTTTATATATTTTATTTAGACTAAAAGGATGATTTTATATTGGTTAGTGGTAACATGATAATATACACATGAGAAAATTTCATAAATTCTCAATAATTTAATTATGTTGTTCTTGTGCTTACAAGATATTGAAGGTGTTGTAATTTTAACGCTTAAAGGGTAATGTTACGTAAGGCAAATCTATATTATGTCTCAAAAGAGGTTACGATGCAGCATAACAAGCTTCCATAGTCAGTAATCGATTTCATTTTTTACACTATAATGTTACTGAACAATCCTAAGGTCTCCTAGACAGATGGTATTTAAATGTTAATAAAAAAAATTTGGCATTAATAAGTTCTGGTAATTATTTGTTTTTTTTTACATTCATACTTTATACATAATTTTCATTGATTTGATTATTATTTAAATATTATTTACCTATGACACAGTATAGCCAACATTATATCGAATTCAAATAAAAAGTTAAAGAACTTAAACTAAAGAAGTTAAAAAGTTAAATAACTTACTTATTTCAGCCAATCAGAATAAACTATAATAAATCCACCGTTGTGTTTATTAACCTGCAACAAAACAATTCCATTAATTCCATTCCTTTGTGTATAATTTAAAAAATATAAACAGAATGCGTATGTAGCGTGTAGGCACAATAGTCTTAGTTAGTCTTAGGCACATAGTAAGTAGTTATAAGTTTGTATTGGGGTTGGTAATAAAATTTTAGCTTCAACTAAGGTGAGAGGACTGTAGCGTGTAGGCACAATAGTCTAAGTTAGTCTTAGGCACATTAGGTTAAGTTACTGTTTAAGTTCATTGGAGTCAGTGAGTCGCATATTACTATACTCTATTGTCAGTCGTTCAATACCTCGAACCAAGAATACGCATATTATTTGCCGACCCTTCTGATAACGAACACACACACCATAATCGGCAAACGTACAACGTGAGATATACATTTTAATTAAAACAATTATTTGCACCTTTTGTAAACCACACTGGCACTCAGAAATATTTTATTGACTTGATTGCATAAAAGTAATCCAGTATAATCTTTGATGAAAACATTAATATTTCATCAACTATTATAAATCGGAAAGTGAGTTTTTTTTAATAATAATTAATCCTTTATTGGTTTTATACAAAAAAAAATACAATACATATACCCACCAAACTGCTATGACAGTTTGACGGCGGGAATAGCGCTCGATATTCACAAGTACCTTACACTAACTATACCTACATACTAAACAAACAAAACCTCGGATCAAACTTGTCCTTAACAAAAACGGTGTTATCTTATACTAACAAACAGAAACACAATTATGTGAAATAATTTATATAATTAAACAGCTACCAAGCAGATTAACATTAACTAAAATTTTTGGCAAATTCGGTAAGTAACACAGTCTTTAGCATATATTTTTGGGGTTTGTTTACTAATTGTATTGTTTATGTGCCTTAACAAATCAATATCGTTGTACAACGTCGGAACCATGTACCTGTCGGTTCTTTTTCCATAATAATTGTTTATCGTCGGCCGGACTAACTAATTTTCTCGTTCTAGTTTGTTTGTTTGTTTGTTCCGCTTTCACGCCGTAACTACTAAACCGATTGCTTTGAATTTTTGCAGACATAAAGTTAGAAGTCCGAATTAAATAATAGGGTACTTTTTATCCCGGAAGAATTTGATATTCCCGAGGGAAAACCAAATTATTGGTATAGATGGCGCTATGTATTGGTATATGTATGTCACATAGGCTACATTTTATCCTTTTGTGACGCGAGCGAAGCCGCAAAAGCTAGTATTTCAATAAACGTTAGATCATAATTATGTAACCTTTGTTATATTACGATTTCTGCAACCTACGCCCGAATACTGAAAGATATTTTTTTTATTTATTTATAATTCATGGAGGACTTACAGCTTATAAAAATGGATAAAAATAACAATAGGCGTAGGTAACAATGAGCCAATAACAAGTCCTCACGTTTAGGATTTGGAATAAATTAATTAATATGGTGTGAGTACTATACAATATTAAAAATACATACATTCTATGTTAATGAAAAAGTTAAATATTGAAACAGACCGTGCAGACAATATTATGATTATAAGCAGATCAAGAGAAACGATAAAAAAATATAAAGATCTAGTGCTGCTTAAAAAATTTGAGGCTTAAGCACCTCTTTGCCGAGTTTACACTAGTTGTAAACCTATTATCTATACGTATTCAATTTTAAAATCTTTTTACAAAGAATCTATTGTGACAGAAGTTTATTTAACTGTTTAACACCGCGCGGTCACCGGTGACCGCAACCTATTGTTCTTTAATTGTATCTATAATGATGGTACTCAAAGGGTTGGGCGGTTAAAATTCAGTATAGTTGGTATGTCTATTAGTTTATTTATATTTTGACATCTGTTTCAGTTTTATATTGTATTTTTTATTTAATTTAACAATAACATCACGCCTTTTATCCCCGAAGGGGTAGGCAGAGGTGCACATTATGCCATTGTACAATGTTACACCCACTTTTCACTATTTATGTTACGAGTCCCATGTAATAGGGGGGTGAGCCTATTGCCATATTATACCGGATACAATTCTAGACTCCGTGCTATTACTGAGATTTTTTTTTAAATGCTGTGATACTTTTCCCGACCTGGGAATCGGACCCGAGACCCCTTGCCAGGAAGTCGCACTTGCGATCACTCGGCCAACGAGGTAGTCAGCAGGCAGTACCAATTGTTTATTTATTTGTGTATTATATTTTATATGGGCCACAGTTGTCTGAAATAAAGGAACAAATAAAAAAATAAATCATTATGTATTCTAAGTAGGTAAGTAAAGATAAGCCTACTTAACTCTACAATCGAATAACTTTTAAGCTAGCCCGTAGCTAGTACCTACCAAGTGCAATAGAACGATCTCGAATATAATTATCTAGATACGTCCAGCTTCGGACGTATTCGGTATTCGAATAATCGAATTCGCTGACTCGATTCCAGCTTCCCGATTTCCCCAACGATTGATGTCAGGCGTCCGTTTGATCTTTAATTTTTCTGGAATAAGAATTTATCGGTGTCGCACACGTAGAAATTGACATGTTCTGACTTTTAACTGACAACTTAACGGCTTTGAGTCAAAGCATAGATTTAAGTCAGATAAAAAATGGATATTCCTACTAATAAGTATTATTCAAGTGGGTTAATGGATAGGTTTACCTAATATTACGAGAACCAAATTGTGTTGGATTGTTTTTCCACGTGGCAACGGGCAATTTATTGTTACATACATAATATATTTTTTTCTGGAATTTAAATATTATGTGCCTACCTACAGCAAATAGCTTCACTTTTAATTTTTTCTGGTCTAAGTAAAATAAATGATTTTGACTTTGACATTGCCATATTTATTAACGGTCTGTTACCAAGAGGTAATTTTAGACGAATATATAATACTACGAATTCCACACATTTGGAAATTCAAATATTGTTCATGAAGTATATACCGAAGGCTTGTACTCACTCGTTAATTAAACAATCCCCAGACGTACTAAATTAATTCTAGGATAATCCACACAATGTCGTAACGACAGAAAGAATAATAGCACCAAGTTTATTTTTATATTCAGTGCTCTTTGCTAAATATGTATAGCTTTCGAATTGTGTAGATAAGATTATATAAAGCCACTTCATTGATTAATATATGGAGTGTTTTGTTAATACCTGTCCATATAGACAATACTCGTTTTAGGATATGACTTTGGACGCCCATAAAAATTGTTGTTCTCGTGTTGTGCTATGGATACAATGGGATTGTCATGTCCTATAGCTAGAATAAAAACCCCGTCCAAAATAAACTGATTAAAAAAATATTGTGATAAAATATTTAAAAGATCTAAGATAGTTATTTATTGTCAGTCAATCACTTAACACCGTTCACATTATTACTCAGTTTGTTAAATATATCTAGCATCGTGGCGTGGTGACCTGGAGGTTTAAGGCGTCCTCTTCTCATGCATGAGGGTGCTGCTTCGAAACCTGGCAAGTAGGAATGTGACTTCTTCCGAGTTATATGTACTTTTTTTTTACTAACAAACGGTGAATAAAAACACTGTAAGGAAGCCTGGAATTATAATTGGGATGATGACGGGGTATGAACATTAAAAATCTGTTTAGTATTTTTTTATTTTTTTGTATAATAAAATAATGTTTAGATAAAACGAATCAAAGTTTAGGAGTTGAGTAACCTAAAACATCATTTCTACGTATAAAATGTACCTACATAGAACTGACGTCACACGATATTTCAAATCAATATATCGTCGAAAGAATTCGGTTCAGTAAGAAAATATAAAATACGTGTCTAATGATTTAAAATTATCTAGCAGGCGGACATTAAAATAAAAATTAGACATCTACCCTATTTCTAACATTT